GCTCTGGTCTCGCTTAAAAGTTTAATAAACGAAGAAAACGAGTTTCCCTTTTGCTCTTGGGAGTTTTTTTTTTATCATTGTTATTATGACGTTTTACAATCCTTGAAAAATGTTTAATCTAGGGACAGTGTATTCTTTCATCGTTTTAAAATAAACAGATGTATTTATATACGCATATGTTTCTTGTTTAATACGATCAAATTGATTGTTGATTTTAAATGAAATTAAAAGGATTTACTTTTAGTTATGAAGAAAATCTATTTTTCTTTTTATATTACGTTCTACGATCTTGAAAATTGTTCTCCGATAAGAGACAAGAAAGTCGTATCGTTTGTTGAAACGATCGACACGGTACGTAAGTAGCGATTAGGGTATTCATTGTCAGACTTTAAAGAGACTCTAGTGATTTTAGCAATGGGCATATTGAATTTGAGCTTGAGCGGTTGGATATTAAAAAGGAAGGCTTTGTCGGAAGTACATTTTCTAACGACGTTAAAGAGTTGTTATCAGTTTCAGTTATAGAAGAAGGAGAATGGTCTTCGAACACGGGTACTATTACTTTTGACATTGACGAACGTTTCGCGTCGCTCAGTCTCTTTTCCCCTTTACCACCCTTTTTTCCTTCCTTTTTCTTTCCACCCGTTCCTATTAATCTGCCAAGCACTCTCGTGTATTTAAAGCGAAACTCGTTTAACGAATTTACGAGAAAAATTATTTTCTTGAACGGTCAGACAATTCCTCGAGGCCAAGCAAGAATTTTCTGCATCTGAATTTTCAATTAGGATTCGGTTGAACGTAACTTCTTTTGACCGATAAAATTTTTCAACAAGCGATTATATTCTATTGGATGGATGGATGGTGGTGTTGTATCTAGTATTCTCTTTTTCTCTTTCTCTCTCTCTCTCTCTCTCTTTCTCTCTCTAGAGACATGAATATTTTGTTCTACATCTATTTTCTTTTGTTTAACAATGCAAGAACACTCCAATTGTTTCACTCAAATTAGTTGAAGATTAATTTATTAATGTTGTCGGCCTTTCTTTTCGTATTTTTATTGTTTTTGTTAGATTGAATAAAATACTTATACTCGTTGCGTATTTCAAGCTTCAAAGTATTAAACTTTCGGATTGCTTGACGCGAGAAAATCCAACGAAACGTAGATAAAGCGAAAAACTCGAGCTAAAGGATTAAGAGCTTACCGTTTTGCGACACTTTTCTCAGTTGACGACAACTACGACGATGACGGAATATTTCAAGTATTTATTTTTTCCTTCTTAATGAAATTTAATATTGATTTATTAACTACTTATAATATAATTTTTACATTGACTAACGTACTTTTGGTCAATGAAAAAACATATTTTTTATACGAAACGAGAATTACGATCGTAATTATTAAACGAATGATGGAAAAATAACAGAATACTTTAAATCATTATATTTTTGTTTTTTTCATGTTACTGCACTTTCAACATCCGTTCGTTTAATTAAATAGCTTTTTTTTCTCGTACCTCATCTCGGCAATAAAGTATAGATTTTAAGATATTTATGGTTGGTAGAGAGGAAATTAGAGCTATCGTTTAGTACTACGAACATCAATCGTTTTCGAATAAATTGCAAAATTGATAAGCGACTCTCCATGGCACGTTCGTACCAAACATTTATCAGCAATCTTTTTTTTTTTACCATATTTCGGTTCAAAACATTTCTAATTTTTTTTAGTTTACCCGAAAATTTCGAAAGAACGATAATACACGTTAAACGAAATTTAATGCATACTACATTATCGACATTACGTAGACATATATTTCTATATAAATATATCTCAATTAAATTTGTATGAAAAGGGCTAACATCAAACGGCTGTACTTCGTATCCCTCCGCATAAATCGTTTGGATAACGAATCGTCCATGGTTCGTTCTTCGCGTTTATGCGGCCATCAGAGCGTACAGAATTTCCGTATGCGGTAGTAGATTACTGGCATTTTCGAAAATGCATTCACCGCGCCAAATTTTCGCGGTTTAAGCTCCGAGGGAGAGATAGCATAAGCTCGGCCGTTCACATCGATTGTTCCTCGGCCCTCCTTCTCGTCCCTTGGGATTCTCCATTGTATATGCAAATTCTACGCTACGTCGGAATCGCCGTTATAAAGTCTTGCGCGCGTGAAATTAAATAAAGAATTTTCATTTGTTTGTAATAGTATAGTTTTTCATATGTGTCACACATATATATATATATATATATATATATATATATACATATAAATAGATATTATATAACTATTCAATTTTCCCAGTTTAATCATCAATCATTGTTATTAATAATTATACACGCGTATATCTTTCTATAAGTACATGAAAATAAAAAAAGAGAACAATCAAAAATGAACGAAATCATTTGCCTTAACGATCTAGGAAACTCATTAAATTTACACAAGAAAAAATTAAATATTACACTGGAGATTCGACGAAATTGTTCGAGACTCGGTTATTCCGATACGATCGCTTGGTTAAAACTCCGCTCGACGACTTATCTTTAGAAACGATCAAAACGTTCGCCGAACGGCGATGCACGTTTTGTCGTATTATCCTTAAAATTGTACGGTCGCGTTGGGAATCAAGGGGGAGGTTTTCTAGAAGAATATAAGCGTACCCGGTGTATGCCAAGCGAAACTAAAAGGCTTCCGTGAACTTCCTCGAGAAACTAGGATTGCACAGAGAACGTTTAAGTACAAGAGAGAAAGAGAGAGAAAGAGATAGATTGTTAGATATAAAGATAAAAAAAAAGACAAAAAACAAGTCAGAGATGGAAAGATAAAACGAGAGAGAGAGAGAGAGAGAGAGAGAGAGAGAGAGAGAGTCAATTTCTTAGCTTGTATAGCAAAGTAGAAGCTTTACTACCAACCGAAAAAACTCAGCCCTTCCAGTATTTTATTACTTAGATCGTTTTTATTTCACCCCTATTCGCGACAGACATCACCCTCTATTCTCTCGAGTCACTCTAATTCTTATACAATATAACCCTACTTTCTTTTCTCTTTTCTCACTTACTTTTTCATTCCTTTTAAATCATTTTCTATAGGATAACAAAAAAAATCCATACTAAAATACTTTTATTTTATTTCGCTTGTTCATCGAGCCCTTTCGTTATTATACTGCGATTCGTTTAATTTTACTACCGAGATAGTAATAACAAATTATATAAATTTAATAGAATCGTTTTACGTAATTATATATATATATATATATATACACACATACGTAAAATGGAGTTTCAGATACGGAAAGAGAGCGAGGTGTAGGGGTGGAAACAGAGTAGGAAATGCGTTCACAATAAAAGGCAACGCTTTATTCGTTCTCATTTGCCGGCTGGTGCATGTAGCGACATCGTTTTAATGCTACCATAGACTTCCTCACTCTCTCTCTCTCTTTCTTTCTCTCTCTCTCTTTTTTTTTGTTTCCAGACGACGGAGTTTATCCGAGTAGTATTTTTTTTCTCCAATCGTGTACTTATACAAAACTCATATATATATATATATATACGTGTGTATTCGATACCGATGTCGATACCTTTCCCACAAAGTATGTTGAACTATTTATATACGTGCGCATGTTATGCGTACATTCGTTTACGTGGAAAGATAGAAATAGATGGACAAGTGGAAAAGAGTGAGATGGGAAAAGG